GGGGCTCCTTTCTTATTAGTGAGTTCTCTCAACAAACTTGTGAGGGATTAGTTTTATGTAGAATTTGGCTATAAGAACAAAGGTTTGACTGACTGAATGCTTTCACACAAGGGCTGCACTCGGGGGAAGGCGTCCGGTTGCACTATAGGAAAAGTCAGGTTTATACACTGCTGGGATACTATAGAAGGAGAAATGCCATGATTTCACGAGGTTTTTACAGGACTGACAGTGACTTATTCAGAAGACAGGTGTTCCCATAGCGCTGCAAAATGGGTTATCCCATGTGGGTGTGAACGTGTACACTTCCCATGGATTGTCTATTGATCTGTCAGCTGTGCATTCATTGAATAATACTTATGGGCTCATGACAACCAGAGCTCTGTGCTCTACCTCAAGATTCTTCAGTGAAGAAAAAGATAAGATGTCTGGGGATATGTACAAGGCCCAAGAGTGTGGGATAACAAAAGGAAGAAGTCTACATATGGTTAAGAAGCCCAGACCTGAGGACAGAAATACATCTTTCTGAAAGAAAACCTTTAGAACTGGGGTTTGGAAGATGGATATAGGGGAATATGGAGACATTTTTTCCAAAGTAGGGAAAAGGGCATTTATCAGGGTGATTAAAACTGGGAATGAACTGTGAGTTTGTAAGTAATTAAATGTTCTCCCCTTGAGAATATGGTTGGATTGGAAGAAAACTGTAAGAAAGATCAAGTGATTCCATAAGAGAATAATATTTTTTATACATTCCTGTGAGGTTTATGGCTGAACACCTTTGATTTGAATGTGAGATTCTTTTTATTGCCACACTTACTTTAGGAGATGAATTCAGATATTTCTCTACAGAACAAATAACCACCTATCTAGGAAAAGTGTGTAGATTACCGGAAAAGAACTTGGATGTCCCCAGAGTAGACTCTTTGTTTCTTATAAGCGTTTGGTCTGGCTTCTTGCATAGCTGTTGTCTGTAATTTTTGGAACAAAAACCATCCCAAAATATTAAAGCCATTTTTTTCCTTGAATCCTGGCTCCATTGTACAAAATATGCCAGTCTCCACAAACAGTGTTACTGAAGACCAGGGAAGCATTCACAATGCCCTGAGCATAATAGGAAAAAAAGGACTGTGCCAAGTCTTCTGACTTCAAAGTTTCAGTGGAGTATACATTTGGGAAGTGATAATAAATAAATAAATAAATGCAACAGGAAAGCTTAGGGAAAAATAGCTTGCAAAAAAAACATTGAGCTATTGATTAACAGACATTCAGCTGACTGACAGGGCTACTTTCACTTGTGTTTTAAATAACAATTCTAGGAAATGAACTTTGACTGAGAAGTGAAGTTGAAAGTCTATGTTTGGTAGTGGGGCAGGACTGACCTAAACAAGAACTGGAAATGATTAACTAGTTTCCAGGGGGAACAGGCCGAACTTACCGTAAGCTTTGTGTGAGTCTGATTGATTAGAATTCTGATTATTTTGGAAAGTTAGAATGCTGTATGTCCCTCAAGTTACTTGAGCTATCTTAGCCTCTAAATAGACAATTTTTGTCCACTTCTGTGTTTGACCTAACAACTGTGAGACTATGAGATATGTAGTTCAGAAAATACAAACAAACCCCTATCTTCTATCAACCAGAAGTTTTAAAATGTCATCAGATGGATCTGAGGCCCAACGCAGAGATTTCATCACTTTGATGTAAGCTTGCCTCATCATGCTTTGGCCAATGTGTTAAGAAAGATTGGGTAAGTTAGAAATGTAGACCCAGCCATGCAAGTGGGCCTCAGGAGATTCAGGATGGTGATGACATTTATGAAGCTGCTTGGGAGATAAAAGTTGGAAGTAGATCTAGGGAGATGTAAGGTGACCACACATCAAGAAATGAGAGGTTCTAGGAAGAGGGTTGTAGTGTGGACCTGCCTTTCAATGGATCTGAAGGGGCGAAGGCTAAGAGGATTCTCCTGAAGACATCATAAGTCTGATGGAAAACTGTGGGGAGAAGAATTGGTCAGAAAAGTTGGCCTTGACACATTGTTTTAGCTAAGTGATATTTATAGGCATTTCCTTTTTTATTTTATGAAAATTTTCTTCAATGACTTTGTTGAAAATACTTTCTTGTCTTCTGAGTTGGGATTCTTCTCCTTCTTCCATTCCTATAATTCTTGGGCTTGGTCTTTTCATAGTGTTACAGATTTCCTGGATGTTTTGTGTCAGGAATTTTTTAGATTTAGCATTTTCTTTGACATATATATCTATTTCTTCTATCACATCTTCGGTGCCTGAAATTTTCTCTTTCTTCTCTTGTGTTCTATTGGCGATGCCTGCATCTATACTTCCTGTTTGTTTACCCAGATTGTCCATTTCTGGGTTTTCCTTAATTTGTTTTCTTTATGGTTTCTAGTTCCATTTTCAGTTCTTGAAAAGTTTTATTCCTTTCCTTTGAATCTATTTTATTTGGTCTCTACATAAGTTGGGGTTATGACAGGGAATGTGGAGGGGAGGGGAACTGGGATAGTGTTGGGGGCACAGAGAATGGAGGAGGTCTGTAGGCTCACCTCTTATCTGGAGTTCGGTCAGCCTGTGGCTGGAGTGGCCTCTGGTGTATCGAGGAGTCCCCGCACAAGTTGGAAGCTGGTACAGGGTGACTAGCAAGGGAAGGGGATTGGAAATAGTGTTGGTGGGGCACCAAGAGAGTGGAATTACTATGCATGTGGGCTGTCTACCTGGTCTCCTGACAGGCATTTCCTTGTTGGGGGGGGGGTGTTTGCCAGAGTTGGGGCCTGGAGACAATGATGAGAGATGGAGGGACAGCTGAGGTTTAGGTCATTTGGAAGCACGAGAGTGAGGATGATCAGTGGGTAGATGGCATAGCTGGTCTTCTAGCGGGATGTCTGTCTGATGGGGGCCTGAGGTTGGCTGTTGCTTGGGCAAGGGGTATCTGTTAGAGTTGAGGGCATGGAAGACCACCAGAGAAACTCATAAGAGAACAAACAATAACACGTTTCCATTAATAGAAAAATGTCATTCTTTACTCTAATGTGGGCACATGTGTGTGGATTAAAATCTTATCTCAGTAACTGTTGTAGGAGGCTGCTTGTTCATTTCCTGGCTTCCCAGACTCCTGAGACAATCACACAGAAGCTATAATATTTAAATCACTGCTTGGCCAATCACTTAAGCATACTGCTAGCTACCTCTTACATCTAGAATTAACCCATATCCATTATTTTGTATCTTGTGGCCTACCCAGCAAGGTTCCTCTGACAATAACATGGTGTCTCTCTAACTCTGCCTTCATTCTCCTAGCATTCAGTTTAGTTTTCCCCACCTAGCTCTGTTCTGCATTGCTATAGGCCCAAAGCAGTTTATTCTTTAACCAGTAAAAAGAACACATAGACAGAGGACTTCCCACACCAAGTAACCAGGCCAAGAACTTGCCCAAAAAAAGGGTATGTATGGTTCCTTCACCATAAAGTGGAAGAGGCCTAGCATTATGATGGCAGTGGCCTCCAAACCAACCTCTCTTCCAATAACTGGTGTATATATCAGAGACAAAAAGAAAAAGAAAGAAAGAAAGAAAGAAAGAAAGAAAGAAAGAAAGAAAGAAAGAAAGAAAGGAAGAAAGGAAGGAAGGAAGGAAGGAAGGAAGGAAGGAAGAAAGAAAGAAAGAAGGGATAAAAGAAAGAAAGAAAGAAAGAAAGAAAGAAAGAAAGAAAAGAGGGAAACAGAGAGAAAACTGGCTTCTACAGATCACTTTAGAACCACTGAATAACATCACTAAACTTACAAATACTAACTAAATATTGGCTTTGGACTACAAACTGCTCAGGACAATTTCGAGGTGGCTAGCAGAGATGATTCAGCCTTACAGACAATTCTAGTCAAAATTTGAGAAAATCCCTGTACTTTCCCATTATGTAGAGACTGGACTGGGCAACAAATGATACAGCTACTTCTCCAAGGACTTGATAATTATCACAAATTTTCTTTTCAGGATCCCCTAAAGATGCCATCACTCCCAGACAGCAGGAAGTAAATTTAAAAATACGACATCTACATTCCCAAAAGGTGGGGTGGGTACTTTTTGATCATTCAATTGGTTATGGATATTTATCATTGAGAGTTGGTTACAAGTTGCTACTGGTTATTGTCAGGAAGAAAGTTGAACAAAGGAGATTACATTCAGAGTTTGTGTTTTGGAAAAGAAGGGAGTAAAGATATGATAGAATATAAGCATATATTATTAAATCTACTCTGAAAAGAAATAAGGAATAATATGGAAATAGAATTAGAAGGTAGATTATTGAATTTACTTTTAGATAAAAAAAAACAACTACTAGTTTTAAATATTTTACATTGGCTTGGACTTGGACTTTTTTGTATATGATACAAAGTTGAGATTATTTTTGTTAGAACATACTGTACATACATTTATAATCTTGTTCAAGGCATAGTACCTATGCAGCGCATTTAACAATGTAATGTAAATTTCTATCCCTTGAAAGTCATTATTACCAATTATTTGGGATAATAAAGAAATGTAGATTAGCAACTAGTCACCTATTACAATTGAGCGTGAAGTCATATTAGGTATATTTTCAAGGTCAAACATATATTTTATATAGACAGGTTGTCATCAAACACTTCAGAGACCTACAGACTATGGCATTTAATATGTTTTAATAACATAGGTTCTTTTCTTTTTATGACACTGAGACATGTCTGCTCTTGGCAACATCAATCTACTTCAGAAAATATGATGAGCATCAAAGAGATATGACATGGAGTTTACTGTCTTTGTGACAGATGAAAATGCTCTTGCGTCAACTACTGTTGAGTATGCTGTAAAAATTGGACAAGCAGGACACAAAGAATGGATTTCTAAACTTTAACAAAACAAGATAGGACAATCCTTCAGAATACCCTTCTTCACAGAAAAATCTGTCAGAAATGCTAGGACTATAAGCTAAAAGATGCCCCAACATTGCAGAGAAACTGGGTGACTGTCCAGACAGTCAGCTGTTTCTGTTATTTCTTGCATTTTTTGGAAGTCATTTGCTTATACTTCCTGCTTACTCAGGTAAATTATTTCCTTCTCGGGTCTCTAATAGAGCTGAAGACTTTATAGTTATAATTATAGATTACCTTGTTACCAGATTCATAAAATAAATTTACTCAATTAATGTAAAATGTAAAAGATTGAAAGACATAAAAAATAGTTTTAGCAATACAAGTTAGAATACAAAGGAAAGTAAGTTCATCTTTTGGACTCACCAAGATAGGATAGATATATTTTCTATGAATTTGCCAATTGTTAAAAGACTAGATGTTGTTGATGTATTTATTGTTTGTATATATTATATATAGTTATTGATTTTATTGTATATAGTTTTTCTTATAATAGCTATTGTAGGATCCCAGGTTTTCCCTTGCCCTTCGAGGTGCAAGTCACAAGAACTGTTTTGGTTAGCCAACTAAGCTTCCTGCTAATTTCTGTGCTAGTTCTGCTTTAGCCTGGTGATTTAGCTGCAGGGCTTTGTTTTACTTTTGGCATGGTAATTTCCCACCTGCCCGGGAGAACATGGCGCCAAGTTCCCTGTCCACTGTCTGTCGCTGCTCTCTCTGCCCCCGACCCCCTGCCTGGGTAGGAATTCCCACACAGTACCAGGCTCCTCGCACTGTGCTTTTCCGTGTGACTGGGAGGGAATTCCTCTACTGGGGCAAAGGTATATTAACTTTGCAGAAAGCTAAATAAAGTGGCATTTGGCTATTTCTTGACAAATGACCCAGGTCTCTTTGTGTGTGTGTCTTTTATTTCAATCTCCAGGACTTTGCCCAAGCTCGTGGTCGGTACGGAAGTGCGCGGACCGTACCGAGGGAGGGTGTCGCAGAACTGGGTGGGACAAGCTATAAGCTACTTTTCAAATTTTTAGACAAAAAAGGAGAAATGTGACAATATCTTGTTTGTACAAATAGTTTGCCTGAAGAACAGAGGGCAGAGCTAGCCACTAGCTAACCATAGAGGTCTGGAGGTCTGTACAAACATACAGAAAGTGATATGGCTGGGAGGAGAAAGGAAATTGTAAAGCATAAGGAGACAGGAGCTCAGTCTCTTTTGGGCTGTGAAGTTGAGTAGGTAAGGTGGTTTTGTTCCTTCATCTCTCTGATCTCCCAGCATTTTCCACAATATCTGACTCTGGGCTTTTATGACGACCTATTAGAACTCGTGCTACACTCCACCACACTCACTTCCCATTCCTCTCAGGTCCACACCCCATCCTTAAGCCCCTCCCCTAAAAAACACACCAAGTCCAATTTATGTTTCCTATACACTCAATGGAGCTCGGTAAAACTCCCAGTGCCCCAACCTTTAAACATGACTGAGTGCTTCCTCACCCCTGCCAGAGACCATCAACTCTGAAGAACTACACTTCAGCATTTTTATCACAGTTTTCAAGGACTCTTTTCTACAGCTTCTTGTCTGAGCTGTTTCTTTATGTCTCTCATCCTCAGTTATGAATCTGCAGTCATCTAGACCATTGCTTCCTTGCCCATAGCGCTCAGCAGCAACACATATCATATACTTCTACATGGTTTCTGGCAGCAGCATAGATCATGGCTTCAACATTGCTTCTAGCTGGCATCTTTCTGTTCATCATATAAGGAGAAATAAAAATCATAAAGATCAATATTCAAAACATGGTATTACCCAGCTACAAACACTGCAACAGCAACCTTTCTGCAAGACATACTCATGCAATACTAGGGCAGATGTGGGATTAACCAAACACTTTTTCTTAGATTTAACGGGAAATGCCAAGCACCAATGCCAACCCCCAAGAATGCAAATGCAAGTTCTGTGAGGCTGCACAGTCTGCAGTGTCCCTGGCAGGAATGTATGCTGAGTGTGTGAACTCTCCTCAAGCCCCCACAGCACTGTTGTGTGCCTGCCTACCTGCTCTAATAGATCTCTTTCTTAAATAACAGTCTGACTCAGCATCCCTCTTTTTATAAGGTTGCAGATCCTGGGAAGAGGCTGGTAGAAAAGGATTGTTCATTGGGGATCGCTACACTTGCATTGCTTCCTTCATGCCAAAAACTGGTTCCATGTTCCACTGGTGAAGGAACTTAGTTCACCAAGAAGAACTCTGACCTCTACTCTGAGATTATTTAATGAGATATAAAATAAGATATATTCTAGTGGTATGTATAAGACCAAGAGTATGGGGTAGCAAAAGGAAGAAGTCTACAACTGTCACCAGAGGAGACTCCTCCTTGCTTATTGTCAGTATTTGGTCGGGCTATTTGCATAGCTGTGGTCTAAAGTGGCCTTGGGGATCCAGTCAACTCCAGGATAGCTGGAGTGAAGCAGTGCTTTCCTTTAATCCTGACTTCACTGTACGTAAGATGTCAGTCTCCAAAAACCACAGAACTGAGGACTGGGGAAGCTCTCACAATGCTCAGAAGAAAACAGAAAAAAGGACTGTGCCACCAAGTCTTCTACTTCAGTGTTTCAAATGGAGTATTAATTTGGAAAGTGACAACAAAAGAAAAATCAAAAGCAATAAAAAAAAGCATAGAAAAATGGCTTGCAAAAAAACATTGATTAATAAACAGATATCCAGCTGGCTAGCAGTACTACTTCTACTTGTGGTTTTAAAAAAAAAGCATTTCTTGGAAAAGGACTTTGACTGAGAATTGAAACTGAAAGTCTCCGTTCAGTAGTGGAGCAGGCCTAACCTAAAACATAAGAGGAAATTATTTTTTATAAGAGGAAATTATTAACTGAAGTTTCCTGGTGTGGGGGAGGATAAATCAACGTTAAACTTTCTACAACTCTGATTGATAAGAACTCCAATTATTTTGGAGAGCTGAAATGTTGTATATCAAGGTATCTTGAGCTATCTTAGCCCCCAAATAGACATTTTTGCCCACTCCTGCATTTGAACTATCAACCATGCAACTATGAGATAAGTATTTCAGAAAATATAAACAAAACCCTAGCTTCTACCAACTCAAAGGTCACAAATGTCATCAGATAGGATTTGAGGCCCAAAGCAGAGATTTCATTGTTTTGATGTAAGCTTGCCTCATTCATGCTTTGGCAAATGTGTTTGAAAATGTTAAAAGTTAGAAAAGTAGACCCCGCCACTCAAGAGGCACTTGAAAGATTGCAGGATGGTGATGACATTTAGGAAGGTGCTTGTGAGATAAAGCTTTGAAGCAGATCAAGTGAAACATAAGTCTACCATACATCAAGAAATGAGGGAGGTTCTAGAAAGAGGGCTGTGTAGTGGGCCTGCGTTACAATGGATTTGCAGGGAACAAGGCTAAGGAAATTCTCAAGAATACATCATAAGTAAAGGAAAGCAATTGGGGGAAAGAAATGGTCAAAACACCTTGAATTGACTCACTGTTTTAACTAAGTGATTTTTGAGGAGAGTGTTGTTGTGTTCTTCCTTTCCGGAGGACTGTGGTTTGAATAGAAATATGAAGAGAACACTCAGTACCTGAGATAGAAATGAGATGTTAAGTTTTCTTAGAAACAAAATCAAGCATTTGGTCTGGCTATTTGCATAGCTGTCTTACAAAGTAGTTTTTGGAACACAACCCATCCCAAAATATATGGATGAAAGCAGTTTTTTGCTTTGATCCTATCTCCACTGTACATAATATGTCAGTCTTTACAAACAGTGCTATTGAGGACTGGGAAAGCTTCCACAGTGCCCTGAATATAACAGGGAAAAAAAGACTGCCACCAAGTCTTCTGACTTCAAAGTTTCAGTGGAGTATACATTTGGGAAGTGAGAGAAAGAAAGAAAGAAAGAAAGAAAGAAAGAAAGAAAGAAAGAAAGAAAGAAAGAAAGAAAGGCAACATGAAAGCATAGGAAAAATTAGCTTGCAAAAAAATTTAGTTATTAATCGACAGACATCCAGCTGACTGACAGCATTACTTTCACTTGAGGTTATAAATAATAATTTCTGGGAAATGAACTTTGATTAAGAAATAAAACTGAAAGTCTCTGTTTGGTAGTGGAGCAGAACTGACCTAAACAAGAACTGGAAATGATTAACTGAAGTTTCCAGGGGGAACAGGCTGAACTTATTGTAAGCTTTCTGTGACTACTCAGTACCTGAAATAGAAATGAGATGTGGAGTTTTTTTCAAAACAAAATCAGGTCTTCTCTCATATTATAAATACCTGGAGCCAGGCCAAAATGAGCAGTGATATAAGATAAACTCAGAGTAACCTCTTTCTTGTGTTCTCTCAGATAGTTAGAGAAGCTAATAATCAACCTGAGAATGTTTACCAATGTGAGAAGATAGCAGAGTCACTAAGAAGGTGGAAGTCAATTTTTCAGATGATCTCAAGCCTGGTGGGTTGGGAATGGAGCTGGTCTAAGAGCCCCTTGGTGACAGCTTAAGAGCAGATAGTACATTATAGGGTGATGATGTGGAGAGCTTTTTATAAGGTGAGGGAGTAGAGAAAAGTTTTGAGTAAGGTGAGAAAACATTGATATCTCGTGTGGAACTTATCATATAATATGGCAGGGGAACTAGTCTAGAGCAGAAAGGGAATAAGATGATAAGATAGTTACTAAAAATAGATCAGGCATCTTTGAAGATGGTTTTGCTTTTTTTTCTAGTTGGAAAACTTATGATGAAGTTAAATAAGTTAAAGTGAGACAAAGAATAGAAGAATGAGTTCACTAACAGAGGAAGAGACAGGCTGAGGGTGTGTTTTGTTCAGAGTTAGAAGAATATGAAGTAGAAGTCAGTGCTTTCAGTTTAGTGGTACCATTAGCTCCAGTGTTGCCTTTGGCTCTCTGCTCAGAAATGTCATAGTAGCCTCTGCAGTAGATGACAAGGTAAGATGTAAGTGCATGTGGGTTAGCTTGCTTTTAATTAGAGGAGTTTGCTGTGAGGTGAGAAAACTTCACTTTTGACAAATTAAAACTTGACAGTGGAGAATGTTCATGGCCAGTGCTGGCATTAACCTTTAGGTTTTAGGCTTGTGGAAGGTCAAAATATTCTGCCTAATGTGAAGTGGCATGTGGACTTCTATGATGGTGTTATCTGTGACAATGACATAGCCTTCATCTGGATGCAGTTCTTTCTTAAGGGCCTAGGATCCCTAAAGCAGAAGAGGACAGAAGGCTGCTTTGAACTTAGGTAATAAAAGGGTAAGTGGTAACAGGCCTTTAAGGAACCATGAATATCTTGGGAAAGAATTTTAGCTAAACCCCCACATTTTGGGATCCAAATACAAATGAAACTCATTAGACACAGAAAAGAGAGATTATATTTGTTCTGGGAGCATGAAAGATATGTCTTTCTTTAAAGTTTTGCAGCTTTGATGCACATTGGGTGAAGAGAGTTAGAGTCCATCTAATGTGAGGCTATCTCTTCCTTACAGATAATGCCTGGTGTGACAGTCAATCTTGTTTTTACTACTTGACTGGAGCTGGAATCAGCTAAAAGAGAAACTACTGAGCACTCTTGAAAAGGACTTTCTTGATCAGATTATTTGAATTTTGAAGGTTCACCTGAAATATGGTCACCACAAACACATATAAAATGGAGGTAGAAAAGGAAATTTTGCTTTTGCCTCTTTATGTTTATGCTTGTTGACAAGTTCATGTATTCTGTTCCTGCCACTACTACATTTTCTCACTAGTATAGAAACCAGCTTCCTCAAGATTTCAGCATAAACTGAAGACTCTAGGAATCATCTAAGCCTTCAGTGCCTGATTGGGATGGCTGAGGTATCCAGCTTTGTGGAGTGAGGAACTACCAGATTCTTGGTGTCTCTAATAAGAGACAGACATTTTTGAACTATTCAAATAATGTCATGCAAGCTATTACAAAAAATTACCATTCAATAAATATTCATGCTATTAGTTAAGTTCTATTCCTGACTAATATGCTTGATATCCCTGATCAGCGAGAGATTAAAGAGGATGGAGTATGTGCTGAGATGGTTCCTGGTATACACATGACATAAACTACTCAAAAGATTATAAGATCACGAAGATATGATTGTCCCCTCTCTTAACACTGAATGCAAGGACTGGAGGGGTAGCTGTTGAAAACCAGCTTTGACAAAAATACCACTTACCAGAGTAGGGGCATGGTAATTAGAAAATAAGTAAAGAATACAAAGATGGGAGTGAAAATAATAAAACAGAAACGTAGGATAGTATCTGGAGGGAGTTTCAGTGAATACTGAAATCCACCTACATTTAATTTTCCATACACTTTTATGCCCCAATACAAAAGGAGTAAGAAGACAAAAGACTGCTTTAACATGATCCACAGGGCAACTAGAACAGTTACATGCTTAAATACTTTGAGATATCAAGTCATTAGCATTCTGTTGTTTAGGCAGTAAACCCACCCTAGACCAAGTATCCTGAAGGCAAATGCTCCTAAGGGCAAATTTTATATTTCAAAAGAAGGTGCAGATGTATGCTTGAATTTCCTGACTATTGGTCAGGGTGGAGTAGATCTACCTGTATGGGCCATGTTAATATCATAAGAACCAAGTAACCACATCCTAGATCAAGATGTGTATCCCTAGTTGTGTCAACAATTTTGAGCAACCTCAAATTCGCTGACCTTCAGACAAAGTGGGAAAAGGTTCACATTTTGAGCCTCCACAGATGGCTCAGGAGTTAAGAACTGCTTGTAATAACTAATCTTGGTTGTCAACTTCCTTTAGGGAACCCTGACTGTTCTTGCAGAAGACCAGAGTGTTGTTCACATCACCTATATCACACAGGTTACACATGCTTGTATCCCTAGTTCCTGGGGATCTGATGCCTGCTACTGGCTTTACATGCATCTGTAAGCATGTAGTGCATATAAACTTTGATATACACACATAAATGCACATAAATTAAGAAATGAGTTTTGTTTTTAAATAGTTTCCATCTAAACAAGAAAATATTCTACCAAAAACTGTATATCCCAGAAACCTTACAAACTACAAAATACATGGAGACACCCTAAAGTGAAAAAAAAACACCAAAATCCTCAATGGTGTGTGTATGTGTCTATGTGTCTGTTTGAGTGTCTGTGTGTGTGTGTGCGTGTGTGTGTGTGTGTGTGTGTGTGTGTGTGTG